TCTCTCTCTCTCTCTCTCTCTCTCTCTCTCTCTCTCTCTCTCTCTCTCTCTTTCTCTCTCTCTCTCTCTCTCTCTCTCTCCTTGGGCGGGACCGTTGCGCTGTGATATTATTTTCTAAAACTATAAATTTCTATGGCCAGTTGCAATTACCATCGGAGCGGGGAAAACAGCAGTGGTGAAACTCTGTCTAGCACCCTTTCCTTGGGGCTAATTTTGTATTACTATATCTAATGCATGACTATAAATCTACGAACAAGTTATACAGTGCCAGGTTTGTAATCGATCTTCAGAAAGAAACATGACCAGCCAATGGGAAGAATAGCCTGTAACTGTAACAAAAATAACAAAGAACTATTCGTATTAACTTCAGGCTAGCAACTACCTAACTAGATCTAGGCGTACAATTCGTAGGCTAGGATACTAGGATTATGAACAAGCTCTATAAATGTTTTTAAAATAACCGTCGAGGAAATCAAAAACAGTGTAGAAGTGTTACATCAACAAGTTGTTGTTGTTTTCAAATCCCTTTAGCTGCGAGCATTTCGCTCTTGGTAGCGCAATGCCTCCCTTAAGTAATCGCATGTCCTTGTCATCTGGTCAACGCCAGAGTACAGCATGCTTTGTAAGTCTATAGGTGAGTGTAGGAGCCTATGTCGAAGAACTGCCAGGTTAGGACAGTGAAGGAGAAGATGTTCAACGGTCTCCATTTGGTAGTCACAGTGTCAATCAACAAGTAAAACCACAGAGGAACAAGCTTCCAAGAGACGCAGAAATCACAGTACCAACGAAATTTCTGCAAAGGAGGCGTGAGGTATAACAGTAAATCAAATATTTGACCGTTTCTTGGAGCAAAATAAAATCAACACATCATCAATCGTCGACCCCTCCAAATTCCAGGACCATCAAAAGTCGTTTCCTACATTTCTTTTGGATTGCATAGCAGAAACTTACTCTGTTTTGCATAAAATCAAGTTACAAACAGAATTAGAATATTATATTGCAATTAAACAGTGTAGAAGTGTTACATCTCAGTGTCTGCTCAGTGTCGTACAATCAAGGACCTTTGTTCAACTCTGAAGGACTACAAACTCGACGCAACATATTATTATTTAAAGAAGTATGAAAAATCCTAGAAATAGCACTGACGTTTATATCGATCCACAAGGACATTATTGAGAGCAACCCGAACTTCGTCAACAGAATGATGGACACCTTTGCTGCAGCAAAAGAACGAAGAGTGGACTTCTTCTTCTTTAATGGATTTTCGTAAAACAGTTAGGATGAAGAATGCATCTCTTTTATCATGCCCTTGACTATCTTCAACCTGCCTTAAGTCAATGGTGCACGCCCACTTTCTAGACCCACGAGTCGCCTCTGAATATAGTCTATACACGTATATCCCATGGCGGAATGGTGCAAAGATTAGAGCCGATGGAACTATTGTGTGGTAAAAAAAATCGTTGCATAACCTATTGATTCTCCAACGTTTGCACTATGACTTATATCAATTTGTCTTAACTGATGAATATTTTTTCAAACACCTGTAGAATGTGTTCTAGAACATTCTTTAATAAACTAATTTTAAAAATCCAAGTCTATCGTTTCTACAGCTTTTTGTTTGTTTTAGTAGAGGTTTTACGGCGCTCGCAACTGCATAGGTCATATGAGCGCCAAGGGGTGGATGTCAACAGAGAAGTCCTTACATGGAATCAGACTTACTCTGCTCACTCACCTCTCTAGCACAAAGTCTGCTTTGACTATCAAGGCACCCCGGAACTAGCGGGTCACCAAAAAAAAAAAGTGTGACAAACATACAAAATAAGTAGAGGGAAAATGACGATACCAAGGATTAGAAAAAGCAGCAGTTCCCTGTTGCAGTTCAGGCACAGTTATGAGCATGACATTGACGAATCAGCCCATTTACAAAACAACTCTGTGTATAAGAACATGGTTACTGCCCCCCCCCCCCCCCCTTTTTCTTTGGGAATGGCCTAAAGACACTACAGGCAGTAGCACCGCCCCGGGTGGTTTCTGCAGCTTAATTTTTTTTCGAGCAATATCGCCTTTTATTGTTTTTTTTTAAATCGCGACTTAATGCTTATTGAGCGTATGTTATGAGAACCTTTACTGCATAAAATATGTTCACCGTAAAATAAATTGCTTGTAACAAGTTTTGCTGCGAGACTGTCATTGGTGAGCTGTGACGTAGTCCATATTATGCGTATACAAAATGTGTGCAAGAAGCGGGAAGTGCTGTAAATAATACCATTTTCCGCGTGGCGGAGATTTGTAGCATTTCATATATAAATTAATGCAGAAACGTTTTCTTTTAAAAATTTAGCCTCGTGTTGTGGAAAAAAATAAGATTAAGTTGAGACAAATTGACACAAAATGCTGTGTAAGGTATGAGTGACGAAGATATTGAGGATAAGTTGCACCACGAATTTTTGACCGCACTATAAACTTCATAGTTTTGTTTTAAATCAAGGCTCAGTGGGTAATTTAGTGCATTCAAACAAATATTTATTGTGTCATGTTTTGGTTCTGTTTTGACACAGGTGATTTTTTGAAAATTAGATAGCCAAAAGAACAAACTGACAGATCATGAACGTTAATATTCACGCAGACATGGAGCAGGTCAATACGCATTACGCACTAGGCTACTCATTATGTACACATGTAATGGGAACGTGGCTTTAGTAGGCAGGTAAAAACCCAGCGATAGGGAAGGAAGTGAAATTGTCTTTCCGTTTCTGCGTCAGACAGATCTGCCGCTATGACAGGTTTTCATCCTTCACAGTTCGACTAAAATATATAACATTAGGCCTACATGTTATGTGCGTGTGTATGTGTGTGTGTGTGCGTGTGTGTGCGTGTGTGTGTGTGTGCGTGTGTGTGTGTGTTTGTGTGAGTGAGTTTAACTAGATAATTCAAACTTTAGAGACGAATGATTGATTGTGAACACGCTTAGAACGGGACACCGACTATTGTCCCCTTTCACAATTGTGTCGCACACACAGAATTATGTGATCGCACACATAATAATGGAGTGGGGAGGGTGGTGCAGAAGAAAAATCCGGTTGTTGGTTGGGATTTCCACATTAGGCCTAGGCTAATTGGGTGCTCAGTGCTCAAACCGGATGTCTCGGCGAGTGGCGGCGAGGCATTGCCTTGCCTAGGCTAGGCTAGGCCAAGTCCTCTTTGCCCGCCCCTGCGATTCGCGAGTCGGAAATCGGAAATGACATGACAGGGTCGTGTGCATGTATAATGAGTATACTTTTTCAAATTTTATTAAATCCTAATAGATTGGTCTAGAAATTGCTTTCAATATAGCTTTATATTTTGAAATTATAATGTAATACTTCATAAACAACAAAGTCTCATAATAATATGCAAAGATAGTCTTAAAAAATAAAGTCTCGCATCCTCTCACGTCAACTGTTTGCATAATTTGCCTCGTTCTGAGTTACTACGGCCTCTTTGCTCGTCGACTCCCGAGGTGGAAGCACGCCGTTTTAACTTCTTCCTTGACTAATCAAAGATGCCGGTAAGTATTTTGAGCATAAATCTTTCTAATCATGGTTATTATTTATATTATAAGCAAAGGTTGTTATTACAACAATGTTGGGGTTGAATCAAAGCTCATTTAGCAATATTTTTGCGAAAAATGTTAAGCTGCTGTGCAGCCGGCGTCGCGCCGGCGTCTTTGTTCTTTGTCTGCCTCAAAATTGTGGTCAGCTCGGTCGTCTCGCAACTTATTTTTGGTCACTGAGCTGTTTCGAGCAAACCACTACTGTCTGTTTTTTAGTCCCCAGATGGGCTTCCATTGTTGGCTTACCCCATTGTTAAATAGTTTTATTTATCTATTAGATCTGTAAGCGGTAGCCTTCACGGCTGTCAAAACCAGATTCTACCGATTTTCCGGTAGGCCTAGCCTTCCGATTTTAGGCCTGTTATGATACCGCCATACCGTGATCTTATACTTGAGGCCCCGCGTCCACTGCGCTTTTTCGTCACTTGCAGGCCAAGCTCACATGCAAATAAGCTTGTTTTTGTCAGTCACTGACTGCCTTTGCCTGACTATGCGATTTTCCTGCATGCACGCCTTTTCGTCAGTCCTGTAGGGGACTAAGAAAGCCTCGATTTCACTCATTTTGGAAGGAAATTTGCATCTTTAAGTACATTTTTGCTTCTTCATTGTACTTTACATGATCAATAAAGTTGTATCTCATTATAATATATTGTACAATAGCAGATCTGTGCTGAAAAACAGCAAAAAAACCCCTTAAATTAAAGCACTTGACCTAGAGTCTAGATATCTAGAATCTAGATCTAGAAATCTAGATCTAGATCTAGATCATTATTTCGTTCTCGGGAGAGCTAAAAATAGGCCATGTTAGACCTAGCTAGGGACGTGTCTAGATCTAGATTATAGATCTAATTATGTTCTCTAATGTTTAGTGCTTCCAATTTTCCGCCAATTTTTAGTTTTCTCACATTATCTGCGGGTCCACTAACTAGATGTCTATATCTAGATTCTAGATCTGGGCCAAGATGCTAGATCTACATCTCGATATATTGTCGCTTTGCCTTTCCTGAAACAGTGCCGTATATGAAGCTTAATTTACCCTTCGCTGATGATAGTTTTGATGGCCGAGTGAAAAGCGTGTCCGCGTTTGGAAACAAGACATTATTTTTTTAGAGTGGGTTTGAATCCCAGTTCCAGCTTTTTTTTTCTTTTTCCTTCTCATCGTCCCAACTTACCGTTTCCCATAATTATAATTTGTTGTTTTTTATTTTTTTAAAGTGGTAAATAAATAAATCGCCTGTGCTGTCTGTTCTCGTAATCATAACGCACTGGGCTAAAAATAGGTTTCACTGTCTTATTCCTGATGGCGGTGGACGCAGATCTTTTTGAGTCGCTTCTACACCATGAAAAAAACCTCGTACATTAGCTTGGCCTGGAGGTGATCTTATTTTGGTGGACGCGTAGGCTAAGCCCTTTATCTGTCCATGACAAAATTACTGTAGTTTGCGCATTTTTAGGCCCAGTTCAAAGTATTGAAGGTCTGAGTCGGGGATTAGTGAACTTTGGGAATTAAATATGCTAAAAGAAATGTTCTGCAATGCCAAGCCCAAATGCTTCCAATCTTCTTTGTTTGGAGTTTGGTAAATTTTTACTCATCATATTCATGCACCCACACACAGATTCAGATGCATTGATTTCAGGGCTAAAGAGCCATAGATCAAGACCTAGATTCCTAGATATAAATCTAGATCTAGACTCTAGATCTATATCAATCCTAATTGCCAAACGGAGTGGTTATTCGTACCATATGCGAAAAACAGACTCTAGTTATCCGTACAATACTAAACTCCCACATTATAAAGTTGGTAATGCTGGATATTTTATCATAATGATAATTTGATGTTTTGCAGATACGTTTGATATCTCTCGCTCGCCGAGCATCAGATTCTAGCCTATAAATTATAGGGCCTAATAGATTTAGATCTAAATTTTTAGATCAAGGCTCAAATAAGCGGGGTGGGAACTGCCGAAAATGCGCCCAATCAGGAGATTCCCTGACAGATTTAGCCAAAATGGCCGCCCCTGAATCAGGACATCACAACTCGACTAGTGCCGGACGAAGTGCGGTTGGGAGAGGATATGCAGCCCACTGCATCGCGAGACGAGGACGCTTGTTCAGTCAAATCCAAGTCTCTTGGCAAGATCTGGACCCAAATTAGATTACATGTATTTAGCAGACGCGAGGCGGTGTATCATCTGGAGCTGGCCTGCTTTTTAGTACGCCTAGATCTAGAGGTTCAGAAAGAAGTTGCGGGGTGGAAGCTCAGTGTCGCGAGACGGGGAGGAGGCTAGCTAAGCCAAATCCAAGTCTCTCGGCAAGATCTGGACCCAACTTAGATTGTTTAGCTGACATGGACAGGGGTGAGGAGGTGTATACATAGGGCGAAAACATAGAGAACGCAGATTTCAGAGACTGATTCAGTAAGTGCCAATATGTATAAATATTCCCTTATAATGCCTATGATTTCCAACTTTCCCCACATAGAGCTGGTAGACTGCAGGCGGTCTTAAGCTCGGATCGGCGCTGTCGGCTTTTGGAATCCAAACTAGAATCTACATTCTTATTGTGCCGAAAAACTGGGAAGGGCGCCTCGCTGTCAAAACGCGATCTTGGTGCTTTGTCTTATTTCCATTGTTTAACAGTGAAAATATTACTTCTTCGTAGCTCACTCTTTTTTATGAACTGCTTTCACGGTTATTAAAAAGGAAGTGCCTATTTGCAACGCCGCATTGCGATTAGCGCTAGTGCTCATTTAAAACGCTGTTAGCCTAGGCTGTACGAAGCTTAATCTACCTTTCGTTTACGGAAGTTCTGATTGTCGAAGTGACAGCGCGTCTGCTTTTAAGGCTGGCGCTATTTCTCCAAACGTTCTGGAAAATAAAGCTGGGCACTATTTATTTCTTCGAACACTCTGAAATCGCATCCTTTCCCGCAAATTCCGGCTAATAAAAGTCAAATTTAAAAAAAGAAAAATAAGAGAAACCGAACCGCACCTCTTTACTTTTGAAAGTTCACTTAGCTTCACTTCGTCGCTTTCTCACTTGTTGTCACCACATTTTGTTGAATACGTTACGGTTACGATTTGCATTGCTCTACCTTTTTTTTTTTCCTCTTTGTGCTGTTTTATTCTGTTGGTGTGTATTTTTTTTCGAAGTGTATACAGACCCGGTAACCGGGAACAAAGTCACGAAGTATACAGACCCGGTAGGGGAACTCTTTTGTGATTTCGGAAAGTTTCAGCGCCCAGACCCGGTAGTGTGTGTGTGTGTGAGAGAGAGAGAGAGCAGGGGGAAGTGCTAGATCTAGCAAAATGTATATGACATGCCCGCCAGTTGGCAGGGGGGAACGAAAGACAGACAAACAAAGAAAAAAAGAATGCGAGCGATACAGAGGGGGGGGGGGGGGTGACTGCTCGATTGAAATTATGACATTGTTTTTTTCTTCAAATTGTGATTCCTCCAACTCCAAAACAGGGGAAAAACGATCGTTCATCGAAAAGACATCCGCAATCTTCATTTAGTTTTAGATCTAGATCTAGGCTAGCCTCGAAACTAGATCAATGATTTATATCTGTCTGTCTAGATCTAGACCTAGGCCATAGGTCTAGAAGAACCTAGTTCTACCCTGAGCCAAGAGGGTGCTGAAACTTTCCGAAATCACAAAAGAGTTCCCCTACCGGGTCTGTATACTTTGTGACTTTATTCCCGGTTACCGGGTCTGTATACACTCCCATTTTTTTTTCGTTATTATTCTGATGTGTTGTTTTTCTATTAATTTTTTTTGTTTGGGAAAAAGGGGTGGGGGGGTGTTGTATAGTTTAACGTAATTCAATTTGATGTTCCTACCTTCATTAGATTCTAAATATATATACATAAATATTATAGATTTAAATGTGTAATGTTAAAGCGTTCCACCAAAACCGATTACATGTACTGACACTGGCAGGCCCCTTGTGTGTGATTCCATAATTTACGTGTAATATCCTGCACATTCTGGTTTTGTCCCCAAGATTAGCTCTATACAAAATAGGCCTTAGTATAGCCTACTTTTCGTTTTACCAATTTAGGCCTGGTTAAAGTTCAATGTATAGTGGCTGTCCTTGGTCTGTGAGTCTTTATTTAAAAAAAATAAATTTAGGCTCATGAAAAAAAACCTTGATGCCACGCTTGGAAGCACTGAACATTAGACTTACAGAACGTAAACAACTTGTATACATTCTCTAGGCCTAACTTAAAGATAATATTTTTATGTTGATCTATTGCATGACGACACTGCGGACAGGAAATACTGCTTATACCGAGTTGCACCGTCTTATTGAACTTATTGTTATCAAAGTGTCTTTTTCAACTCGAATGATTTTGATGAACGAGAGATGAACAAGACTACGTCTAGATAGTCTACTTTTGTGCAATTAATGTCAGAAACAATTGTTAGATCTCATCTAGATTTAGATCCAATATTGATCGGAACAAGACGTCATAACAAGAGTAAAGTCCTAGGAGGTTTATCAAGAAACTGAGAAAGTAGAAACAATGACATCTAGATCTAGTACTGGCATTTCAAATAGCATGGGAGCTATTCAGAACGCGACGTTTCAAAAGCACAGGAGCGATTCAGAATGCAGCACTGCAAATAGCGCCTGCCAAAGAAAAAGAAAAAAGCGTCCTCTGAACATGGAAAATGCAGTTAGCCACATTTTATACTGCCATTTTGTGCATTTTTATTGGTGTAGTATGATGATTTTGAGGACAGTTTCCAGTGACCCTTTTTTTTTTCTTTTTTCAGTACCAAGGAGGTGGTGGTTATGGTGGAGGAGGCTATGGTGGTGGCGGAGGCCGCTTTGGAGGTGGTGGCGGAGGCTACGGGGGCCGTGGCAGAGGCGGCGGCGGTGGAGGTGGCGGTGCAAGGAGGAGCTATGGAAATGAAGACTTGGATCCTGAAAGTGAACAGTTCCGCAAGCTTTTTGTTGGTGGCTTGAGCTACGAAACTACAGAGGATGGTCTGAAAACACATTTTGAAAAGTGGGGTGAAATTCTTGATTGTGTAGTCATGCGCGATCCAATGTCAAAAAGGTAATTCCATTTTATATTCATCACAAATAAAATAATTTGAGTTGTTAAATATTTGGTCCAATTTTATTTCTGCATTTTGTTGCATGTTTTTAATAAGGTGTGGGATGGGTGCATTTGGTTGGGACTTTTTATTTTGTATTCTTGCAGTTTTAGTGTCTCTGAAAATCTGGCATGGAACTGGTAACTTCACCCAGTAGATGTAAGAATTGCTAAGAAACATAGGTTTGGTTTTGTCCTTTACACTATTATGGTTTGCTTTTTTTTCTTGGCAGATCAAGAGGCTTTGGTTTCATCACATACAAGGAAGTTGCCATGCTTGATGAAGCTCAGAGAAACAGACCCCACACCATCGATGGAAGAGATGTGGAAACAAAACGTGCAATGCCTAGAGATGTACGTTTCATCATTTCATATTTTTGTCAATGCCGCCTAGTTCATTTTCATCCTTTATTCTGACCTACTGCTCTCAAATTTTGTTCACCCAGTGAAAACTGATTAGATTTGAATGAAATCCTGTTCTGTCTTAGAATCAATTTCCATCAGTGTGCAATTTATGGTGACATAAAAGAATAGTTTATTTGAAATATATTTGTGCGACTTGAAAACTCTTGTCAACCAGAATTGATCTCATGTATTTTCCCATACAGCCAGGATTAAATCTGCTGTCATTGAGAATTCACTTAAGATTTGTATATCACGAACAATATCTCATTTGCCTTACCAAAAAAATTAACAGCCTGCTGCTAAATGAAGCATGAGAAGTGAGATTGAATGCAGAAAATGTAGGTGTATTGTAGAGGGATTTCAGTAACAGTTCTTAGTAGGGAAATGACTTGATCTTAAGTTGTTAATGTAACACGCTACCATTAGAAAAATAAGCAATTTCAATCAGGCTTTCCCGCGCGGTGAAAATTTGGTCCCCGTATGTGGACAGGGTCGTTGTGTGGGTGACTTTCTCTACCTCAGTCTGCTCTATTTCTTGACCAATGTGAATGAAACTCTGCAACCAATCAGAAAATAGGACTCGTCGCTATGCTGTCACTTGTTGAAAAAGAAAAGAAAATACAAGCGTCGTCCGATTTTTTAGATTGTCTGGCTCACCATCGTGACTGGTCACCAGACCTGCCACTCATCCCGATTTAATCGGGATATCCCGATTTTTTGCCCCAAATCTCAAACTTCCCGATTTCGGTATCCTGATTTTTTGTCGTTGCGTCCGATTCTTAGAAAAAAATATAAAAAGTTGTGCAATCTCTTTTGTTTGGAAACACCGATTGGACTTTTTATCTGCAAGAACTTGGAATGCCGAATCTAGATCTAGTAGTTGACTCACATACGTTATTTCAACTAAAATCGACATAGTTTCAAGCGCTCATTCGCATCACGTGACATGACCTCATACGTGTGAGTAGCGCGGGTGTCGGGGTCAACAAAGTTCATTCACGTTGGTCGAGGTGTTGAGACTTCAGTGTGGGATGACTGAGGGGAGTTGGGTGGGGGTTTTGTTTTGACACTTGGGTTTAAAGTGCATGCCGTGAATAAGGGGGGGGAAAAGAACAACCTTGGCGCGATCTTTTTTTCGATGTGATGGAAGTCAAACATTAAAACGCTTGCGTTTTGCGTAGATGATTAGAGTTACTTGTCAGCTATTTTCAAGACTACGAGTGTTTCAGCAACACTGCAACCTTCGCTCTATCCAACTTCGACTGAGTACTTATATGCTGTCTTTCAGTTTTCCCTCTCTTTAGAGGCTCAGGCGTGAACCTATTCCTGCAAAAGTTTTGTCTTGCATACTTGCCTCATGTTACGAATTTGTTTACTCCCTGCTGTCCTCTTTTTGTGCGCCGGCCCCCCCCCCCCCCCCCCCCCCCCCCCCCCACTAGTTGACTGGCTAACATTTGTGGAAATCATGTTGTGGGTGTAAAGGCATAGCACTTTTTCTTTCACAGTCCGCTGGACCTAGCAACCATCAGAGCATATCAAAAATGTTCATTGGTGGAATGAAGGATGACACTACAGAAGAGCAGATCAGAGAGGTGTTTTCCCAATTTGGAGACATTAAAGCTGTGGATATTGTGACTGACAAAAACACAGGAAAAGTGAGGGGCTTCTGCTTTGTGGAGTTCGATGATTATGACCCAGTGGATAAAGCTGTTTGTGAGTATTTTTACTCTTCCTCTGCACTATTATTGTGGCAATGTCAGTTGATTTTTTTTTCCTTCTTTTTTTAAACTCAAACTGAAAAATTGCTGCTCTTGCCCAGGTTTGTGACCTTGGCATACCCCTTTCTGCATGTTATGTCCTTCCTGTTTAAGGGTGTCACCTCGTTGATTTTTTTGTTAATAATTATTTCTCTGATTTTTAACATGAGTATGATTTTGTATAGTCCATTGCCACTTTATTTCCTTTTTATTTTTGTTGCATAATGCGCCTCCTTGTACTTCTTTGGCGGAGTGTTTTGGAATGGGAGCTAACAGTCATTCTTGAGTCTTGTCTTCCCTGTGTTCTCTCACTGTCGGCTTAAATGTGTTTTGTGGGTGGTTGGCGGGTGCTCTGGTGTGGTTTGCTCCTTCTTTCCTATAAAAAATCTATCGTCCCTATCTGCCCTCCTTCTTTTTAATGTTTGTTACTTTCTTGTAACACCTCTAATCTTCGGCATTTATAAGACCTTATTGTGTTGCAAGTGCCGTAAAACTCTTACAAGAAGTAAATGTGTTTTGATTCAATTTTAAGGAGACCAGTTTGGTTCATTGAGCTTTACTATGTTACTTAGGTCACTGTCTTGCAGTTAATCTCTTGATGCTCTTATTTTCATATTTTAATACTTTTTTCAGTGAAGAAAAGACATGATCTGAATGGAAAGAAAGTTGAGGTGAAAAAAGCTGTTTCCAAAGATCAAATGGACGGTGAGTTAGATTTCCCATTCACTTTGTATTGTGTATTATTTGTAATCTTAAACCTTTGAACCCCTGAAGTGGCGTATTAAACGCATGCCAAGCACTGCTGTGGCGTACATTTCTTAGGTCTAGGCAGATTTTCTGGTTATATGACTGAAAACGAAGCTGCAAAGTGGAAATAAAAGTCACTCTTTGTCTGAATGGGTGAAACTGACTTTGAAATAGTGTGTGCGCGAATTTAAAAGTAAATACGACGAAATGGAGGGTTCAATGAAGTTAGAAATTAGACAAATCTGCGGATGTTTTCTTGATGCACAAAAAGGCCTGTACCCACGACAGTTTGTTGTAGGATAGACCCGTCTGGAGTTTGAACTAAAGAGTAATGTACCGCACCGATCGGGACAGGATGTTTTTGTAGCACTGAATCCAGAGCAGTTGTGAATTGCAACCTCGGTGGAACAGGACTATCCAAGTCCCAGGGTAGTATCGTCTGTGTTTATAGAGAAATATAGCTGCCTAATGCACCAGAACAAAACTGTTACAGACTTGGTGGCGCCTGCTGTCAAGGTCGTGGCACTTGCACTGTTGTTGACCTAACTTGCCGTATCTTGATTTTCAACTTTGCAGTTGCCCGATTGTTTCTAAAGTACAGTCAATTGTTACAATTCCATAGCTGCCAAGTAGTATGTAAAAAACGTATTTAGTATGATTTTTAGGTTTGAGTACGGAAATCTGTTTTGGCATCGGAAAATACGTTTTCAACTTTTTCCCCTCTTAGTTTTAAATACAAACTGGCTTCAAGCAAGAAAAATTAGAAAATTTATGACCGGATAGAGGCGAAGTACGGGAGTCAACAAAACGACGAGAGTAGTGTCCCTGCAATTAAACTGAAAGTCGACCTCCTTCCGCGAGTTGTGCCCCTTCTGTATTTCTTTGTTATTAATGTTATTGAGCATGCGCTATTAAAGCGGGAAGTAACCTACGCAGACCTGCCACTCATCCCGATTTAATTTTTTTTGCCCCAAATCTCAAGCATCCCGATTTTCCCGATTTCGAACGTCAGTATCCTGATTTTTTTTTTGTCGTTGCGTCCGATTCTTAGAAAAAAAATATAAAAAGTTCTGCAAAGAGCTTGGAAGCACCGATTGGACTTAATCGGCTGGAACTTGGAACGCTATTTTCTAAAGCATCTATGCCGAATCTAGTAGTTGACTCACGCTCATATTTCAACTAGGTCTAAAGGGAAGATTGAAGTCGTACATTATTGCGCGAGAAAGTGGGGCGGGTGGTTGGAGTGGAGGAGGGGGGGTTAAGGGGGGTCTCCCCCCTGACAAAATTTTAATGAACAGATCTACCGGTCCGAGATTCTCCATTGAGAGATACTAAAAACGGGAAAATTATGAATTCCTAAGGTTGGGACATAGGCAAAGTCAGTCCGCTGGTCCGGTATTCTTCAATCTTACCCAACTAAAATCTACGTAGTATCAATTTTGAATTCCCACTTAAACTTAAATACGCTAAAGATCTACTTTCGCTGACCTCGTACGTGTGGTGAGTAGCGCGTGTGTCGGGGTCAATAAAGTTCATTCACACCGGTCGCAATGATTGAGGTGTTTTCCGGGACTTAACCAGTGTGGACGACCGGGGTGGGGGGGGGTTTTTTGACACTTGGGCTTAAGTGCGTGCCGTGATACAGACTAATTGAGGGGAAAGGAATAAAAATAAAAATAAATGAACAACCGTGGCGCGATCTTTTGAGTGCATATGCGATGGAAGTCAAACGTTGTTACTGTATGAAAACGCAGACTTTTTTCCTGGATGATTGAAGTTATATGTCAGCTATTTTCAAGACTACGAGAGTTTCAGCTTTAGTGCTACCTGCGCTCCCCCAGTCTATCCAACTCCGTTTCGAGTACATATAATAATGCTGTCTTTCAGTTTTCAAAAAGCTTTGTCTTGCATACTCGCCTCATAAAGAACCGGGACCACCCCCACCCCCTTTTCCCCAGTGCCCCTTATGACTTATTTGCCGTTGATTCCGATTTTTTTCACCAGATCTGGACTCTAGATCCTGATTTTTTAAACTTTAAAATCCTGATTTTTAGATTTCATAGAGTGGCAGGTCTGCCTACGGGCCTTCTTTGTTTCTCATTCATTAACCACGGGTCACTGGTCATCGTGTGTGTGTTGCGGGCAGCCTTTGTGATGATTGCACGCAGGAGCTAAAACTATTTCTTTGATCACGGACGCGCGTTGTGCTTTCAAGTGATGGATGCGTTTTTAAAACCAACCAGTTCTAAGGCAAAACCTTGCGAACACACCGTCTGTGCCAAGTATTCAGAGGAATTCAACTTCATCACTGCTTTGAAATTGCCAAACAAACATGCTTTCTACAAACAAGGTGTGCCGACGTCCTCAATGACAATGGTCCGTCAAGTGGTGTTAACATAGGAGAATTTGTATTGACAGAATTAGAAACCTTAGGTGTTCCCTTTATGCACTGCATCTCTTTGAGTTCAGACAATGCTTCAGTGATGATAGGACAAAACAATGGAGTTATAACAACGCTTAGGGAATCCCAGCCAGACATCTTTGCCGTTGGATGCCCCTGCCATCTTATCAGTCTGGCTGCACAGCATGCTTGTATCTGTGGTGTGCTTATCATTTGAGTACAAGTTGTCTTTTGGTATCTTTTTGAAGTAAGAACTGGTCTCTTTCGCCGACTGCGCGATGAAAATCTGTTTTTTAATTTTGAAAACTTGGCAGCTATGCAATTCTCATCAAAATGGATGTTTATCCAAATGGGATAGAAAACTTCCATTTGTGCCGTGGAAAGTAAACCGTGTTTGTACAAGGCTGATCTTGGAATAGGTGGGCAACGAAGGAAGATTCTGTGACAATAAATCAATGATCTGCTCATATTACACTGCAATAAAAACTTGCTTGTTGGAAGTAGTTTTCTTTTCCTAGCATACTTGCATTTCTCCCTTGTTCTGGGAACTGTGCGTGTATCTGGACAGCTCACTAGGTTGTAAATGCTTAGCTCATTACACAGGCCGGTCATGGATAGCTTCAGATATATACTGTAAATGCACAAATTTTAATTCAAAGGACTGGTTGAGCTATGTTTTAGAAGATAGTTAAATGATTTTGTTCTAGAGACTTAAACAAGAGGATTTCAGTCGACTGCATCATTTTGCAAAATGAAAAACCCCTCTGTTATTTAATCCTATCCCTACGTCGTGTTTTACTATCGTATCCGTAGGACGTGGGCAACTCTGTGCCACCACTTTCCAAAGAGGAAATTTACCCGTTAACCCGATCCTTACGCTTTGCATAGCGGTCTGTCAAAATGATTTGTCACGGCGCTGTGGAATCGGGAGCTCGTCAATTTTTGGGCATGCAGAGTTATTGGTATTATCTTAAAGATTGTTCAGTTGTCTTGCTATCTGTGAAAAAATTACCCATCTTTATTGAACAGAAGTCAAGATATTTGAGATTGAAGAAGATGGGGTCACCTGGTTTCAAAGGTAGAATTAGCGAGAAAATGGCTGCCAAAGTTTGGTTATTTTACATTTTTTGTGCCTTTTCTCAGTATAATCCACCCAGAATTAGTGTTTTTAATTAGACAATTGTTTTTAAGGGGAAAAAATGTATATTAAAATGGCCACAAGTGCCAGTTCTTCAATTTCATTATTTTGATGAGCGCCTGATTTCACCACACTTGCTTTGCATTTTTTAAAGAAATACTGAAAGTTTCAAAGAGATATTCGCACTACAAATATTGTAAATTGTGAAGAATACAACCCTGGGGGTACAAAATGACCCAAGGGCGTATGGATAGGGTTAATGTTTGTAAAGCAAGTGATTGGTCTATTAGACAAGAAAAATAACTCTCCAGACAATAATTTAAAACGAAATTGCATTTAAAAGTCAGTTCAATGACCGAATGGTCAAAAGGACATAAATTTAAGAAAAGGTACTTTTGTTTCTCAAGTCAATAGCCATGTGGACCATACAGATCAAAGAAATTCTGACGCTGTTTGACAAGTGTGCTGTGAGTTAGTCTACACCGCATCGAACTAATTTCAGTTGAGCAAACTTAGATGTATATCTACGAAGAGAAAGGTGCTCTTTGATATGAGACTTGTCTTGTTAAGGAAGTTGGTCATGTTCTTAGATTTATTTAGGTTGTCTTGATTGATTTGATATATTTTGCCAATGTTTCATCCATACATAGGTGGCGGTGGACGAGGCGGTATGTCTGGACGGGGTAGAGGACGTGGTGACGGCTACGGAGGAGGATCCTACGGGGCAAATGGTGGGGCTTTTGGTTGGAATCTTTGTTTTGAATGGTGCAGGTTTGCCAACTGTAATGAATTTCAGTAGATTGTCCTAGACTTGTCACCTGGATTATGAAAGGACATTTATTTCTTCACTAGTCTTACGTGATGTCATTTTGATCATTAAGTAATCTGTCATAAATTTGGGTATCTCTGGTTGGGTTTTGTAAGTTGGCAAGCCTAATGATGCTTTTGAGATGTTCAAAAACATTTACTGCTTGATGTAAGACTGGGCTATGTCATTTGGAAGAGTGATTTATGACTTTTTTTTTAACAACGCTCCCAACTGCCACAGGGTGCGTAAGTTGCTTTCTCAGTGAATTTTGCAAGAAGTGGAGATAACAGCAGATGAGAGAATGGGGTTTAGAGAGTTGCTGTTGTTTCAAACGTGGGACCTACTGAATGAGAGGTGAATACCATACTTCTAGACCAGGAGATGAGAGCCCACTGACGGTGTCTTACATTGAGCAGTTGATATGCAGTCATAGTGATCTTGGAGCTAATTTTCAATTTTATGGTGTTTGAAGAAAGTGAAGCAGGATGATTTAGGTAATTGATTCAGACATTTCTGGCCCTTTTTTTTCTGGGGAATGTCCACTTAAGCATATTATGATGGAATTGTTTTCTTTTGTCCCTTCCCTCAGGAGGCTATGGAGGGGGTGGCGGCTATGGTGGAGGTTATGGCGGAGGCTATGGTGGCCAGGGATGGGGTGGATCTGGAGGCGGCTATGGTGATTACAGTAAGTACCACTGTTCAGCTGTAGTTCAGGAGGAGTCTCAATGTGTATTAGTGAATTTTTTTTTGTTCTTTTGTCCCATGAGCTTTACAATCATATATATTAGATCTTTGAATGCTTGTTAAGTTTAACTTTTATTTGTTTTAGAATTCTGTACCTTTTGGACTTAACAAATCAACTACTGTGGTTCTGACAAAATACATCTTGTCAAATTTGGACCCCCCCAATCAAAAGTAGGGGGTGGGGGGGTTGCAGTTGAATTTTGCTAGTTTGAAAGAAATCTTTAACAAAGGATAGTCTGCTCTGCTTCTTGGGGTGAAGATGAAGCTACATTTGGGAGAACAGGGAGAGAAGTTGGACCAGGTCTACCATTGTTTCATCTCCGAAGTAAGGCTGTTCAGGACCACTATAATTTAAAAAGAAAACACAGGAATATGGTGAGAGTGGAACTAGTTCAGAGTGATAGTTCTGATAGAAGGTGGTGCAGATGTTTTCCGAGGTACCGGTAGTGGATAGGATTCTCCATATCCTCCGGCAATGCAAAGCAATGTTAACACAGTGTTAATTTGACCCGGAAATAGTCATATTTACTGCCCTCTCAATTTTTAGGGCTTTATGTTTGATACCGGTATTGTCGGTATTGTCATTGTTTGTTTTTTTGTTGCTAGATGTCTATTTTCTCAGCAACAGGAGATCCTGATGTGGGAAGCGAATTATGTCACTGAACTGGATTGTTAATGGGAGGTGCTACAAAAATTGTCATTTTGCCATGTTTACATTTACTGTTATAACTGTCTTCAGTGTAATTTAGGGTACAGTGGAATCCACTTATGACGAGTCCTGAAACAACGAGGTCTGTTATAAAGACACTATTCTAAAACCCCGTTTTTCCCCTTCTTTATTTTTGTAAATAAAATACTGCTATAGCGCAGACACATACTAGTCGGTTATAGCGTAATCTAATATTGCTGTTGCTGTGTACAGCACATAGGCCATTTGTTCCTGCAAAACCTCGCTAGTTGTTGGTGATTTTGCGAAACAAATGGGAGAGCCCATGTGTACCAACAATGAAGGCGGAGCAGATGACTGTGGGGGGGGGGGGGGGGGGGGGTTGTGGTATGTACAGACAAGCAGAACGCATCATGTGATAGGCCAGCCTAGTCTACACAGACCTGCCACTCATCCCGATTTAATCGGGATATCCCGATTTTTTGCCCCAAATCTCAACCATCCCGATTTCGATCGCCAGTATCCTGATTCTTTGTGGTTGCGTCCGATTCTTAGAAAAAAATATATAAAGTTGTGCAATCTCTTTTGCTTGGAAACACCGATTGGTCTTTTTATCTGCCGGAACTTGGAACGCTATTTTCTAAAGCATCTATGTCGAATCTAGATCTAGTAGATGACTAACGCACGTTATTTAAACTAAAATCGGCCTAGTTTCAAACGCTCATTCGCATCACATGACATGACCTCGTACGTGTGGTGAGTAGCGTGTGTGTCGGGGTCAACAAAGTTCATTCACACCGGTTGCGTTGGTTGAGGTGTTTTTCGGGACTTGACCAGTGTGGATAGCCGGGGGGAGGGGGTGGGGGTATTGTTTTGACACTTGGGTTTAAAGTGCGTGCAGTGATACAGGTACTAATTAAGGGGAAAGGAATAAAAAAAAAAATGAACAACCTTGGCGCGATCTTTTTTTTCGATGTGATGGAAGTCAAATGTTGCGTGGATGATTAGAGTTAAGTGTCAGGTATTTTCAAGACGAGTGTTTCAGCATCACTGCGACCTTCGCTCCCCCGTCTATCAAACTTCGACTCGAGTACATATATGCTGTCTTTCAGTTTTCCCTCTATTTAGAGGCCCAAACGTGAACTTATTCCTGCTAAAGTTTTGCCTTGCATCTTAAAAGAGAACCGACACACACACACACACCCACCGCCGCCTTCCCCAGTGCCCTTTATGACTGATTTGCCGTTGATCCCGATTTTTTAAACCCAGAAATCCTGATTTTTAGATTTCATAGAGTGGCAGGTCTGTATACATTATCTAGGCCTACCACGCCTCTCACTTCTCCGATGCGAGGATTGAGAGGTCACAACGATGTGACTGATGGATGGGGCGAATGTGTGGCGTGTGTAAGCAGACAGAACGCACGGTGGGGTGGGGGACAACACATCAGACGAGATAGCCTAGAGAACTTTATTTCTGATCGCCGACACTGAGCCGTCAACATCGCTAGCGCTAGACAAAAAACCTTATTCAATTTTTGATCAAATAAGACCAAGAGATCATGTTGAACCAAATCATCATCAGGGGAGATTACAAAAAGAAACGAACAGACAACCAGACTTATAGATTCGGCCTACTGCAATTTTTCCCTTGAATTTATTTCTGGATCCTTTTTAACGAGAATCCTGCTATAACGGATGTTTCGCACCGGTCCCCTCCCTCTCGTTATAACAGGATTCCACTGTAATAGCTAGGGATTTGAATGGATAGAATCATCATTCCAGGGCAACTGAGAGGAATACTGTGTGAAGGTTGCTTCCCCCTCCCACTATTTTTACGGATCACACACTCTTATTGTGTAAGATTTTAGGACTAAAAGTACTAGAGCTTCTACATTAGTGACTAATAGGGTAAAAATTTCAGTTTTTTACAACTGTTTTGCAAGTTTGTCAACATCAGATAAACAATTTTTGGGGCAATTCTTTTTCTTTCCTATGAACATACTGAACACAGTGATAACACAAGACATTGTGTGTATGAAGAATCTAAAGAGATGGAAATTTTTATAGCACTTTCCCTTTAACAGCGGTTTTGACACTTGTATTTTCAGACAACAGCTGGGGAGGTGGTGGTGGCGGAGGGTTTGGCTCCAACTATGGTGGAGACTATGGTGGTGGTCCAGTGAAAGGTGGTGGCTATGCTGCTCGTGGTTCTGGCCCTTACGGAGGTGAGCAAGACTGGGGTAATGCATTTTTTTTCTCTATCTGTTGTAAAAATGTTTTCCTCCTTAAAAAAATGATGGTTGTTTAAAAAATTTTATGAAGTGATATTGTTAATAGGCAAAGCGATGATGTGAAATATATTTGCTATCTGATGTTCTGATGGAAAGCAATCTACCACCTAGATCTCTGAGCATTGCCTTTGCTAAAGCAGTTTTGTGTTGGGTTTTTGAATGGTGGGTATGATTTGTTTTCCTTCCATTTATGATCGCTGCCCGATGTTTCATCTAGATTGTAAGTTTGGTTGCAGAACTGCTTCGTTTTAGACATTTTTATTCTATTTTGCTGTTATTGCACTAAATGTCTATGACAAATAGTATCATTTTCAAATGACTTTTTAAAAAAAAAGAAAAACTGATCTCGCTGTAATAGGAGGGTTTTGTTACGTCTCAATTTGAAGGTCAAAGGCTCATTGTAACACATTATGCAGTTGTGAGCGCCATAACACTTACTGAAAAAAAATTCTAACATACCTGTGCTTTTTTCTTTCCATAAATCTTTCTATTTGTCGTATTCATTGAAACTTCAAATAATTATTACTGTTGTGTAATTATGTTGGTTTTTTTTCTTTTGCAATGTGTCATGTGACAGGCAGTGATGTGAGAAATATTTGCTATCTGATGTTTGTGATGGATAGCAATCTACCACCTAGATCTCTGAGCATTGTCAAATTTTTATGGATTATACTGAAATTTGTTTGTCATTTGATTTTTGCATGCTTTTTGAGGAACAAATCAGTGGGCAAAGCAATGTAGCCTTTTGCGATGATTTGGAAGTATTTATATTAAAGGTTAATGCATGGATCTCTCCTCAGACTTCTTTTTATGCTTGCCATTCAGGGTGATTTTAATTGGTCATGTATTCAATTTTACAGGTGGTTACGGCCCAAGTGGTGGCGGTGGATATGGTGGTGGCAGTGGTGGCGGCTACAGGCGGTGAAAGTTTCAAAAATCATTTAAAAGCAGGTGAGTCTCTTGCAAGTTGGGCTTTCATTTTAGCTCTGAGAAAGGGGATGGGTGATCAAAACATGAAACTCGAGACGGCCACCCATGGTACTGGGGAAAAATCGTTGTCTTAACCCTCATCCTGCGGGAGCCGGGTTTATGTCGTCCGATAAGCCTATTTCGGCACTTCGCCTCCGTTCTGGTCTGAATCAGTGTAGCCCCTGGCTCAGCGCACGCGCAGCGCGCATCCTCTTACGTGTCATTCGGGTCCCGAGTCGGATCCCCATTCACGCTGGTCAAAGTGTGTGTGCGTCAGTCTGCTTGAGTTTGTGGCCTTCTTCTAGAACTGCCTGCGTTGGTTCGTAATCGAGGCATGCGTCTCATTCAAAACGTGCCAAGTTGGTAGCTCTAGATATTTGTCCAATGAAATTATAGAAGAAATTGACCCACTGAGACATGAGGAGCTCGAAAGGATAGTCGGGAAACAGGACTTCCATTTTTCTAAACAAAATATTTCAAATGAGCTTGATTTTGTATGAAATGATACTACCTAATAAAAAATAAGCTTGTTTGATCGTTTTGAATACCATTGTGCAGATACAAAGAACAATTTGAGTGTAAAACATTCGGAAATTGACCTAAATTATCCCCTTTTGAACCTGTCCAGAAAGGTTATTCGAATGGGCATAGCTACTCGTAATGTCTTATCAGCTTGTGAGAGGGGGTTGTTCATGTGTTTGTAACACTTTATAAATAGAAAGCTATGAAAGATACAGCGTTATTTTCATCATGGGTTAACACTCCTACGGTATTCATGGCGTAAACACGGTTCCCGGCGCGCTGTACACCAACAGTACACACTGACTGACCCCGGCACGTCCAACGTAATCGGCTGCGGATAAGATACACATCTGGGCACAGACGCAGGATAAGAGTTAAGGTGCTTTCATTTTTATGTTAAACCCTTAAGGGGAGAAAGGGAAGTGGTCATTTATACAGGTAGCCGTTGGAGCAGGTAAGATTATTTCAGTTTCTCTTCCTTTTTGTGATATTAATTTTGTTTCGATGGAATAAATGAAAGCCTCACTTCAAGATGTTTTAAGTCAATTGTAGATGCTGTTTTTACAATGAAATTTTAAAAATAAAGAGAGTAAGATAACAAAAAATTCTTAAGATTTGTGGTTCCCGGTAGGAATGTAATTGTTATTAGGTAATATGTGCTGCAAATGTCTGGGCATCACGTCGTGGTGGATCTGAGAGGTGCACAGGAAAGAAACCTGCATTTCTCTCCAACCCATGAATTGCTGCCAAAGACAAGTGGTAATGTATTACATTTTATGCTTGGCTATATATAAATATTTCTCATTTCTCAGAATGTATTCCAGATAATCTTGTTTGAAAGATAATAACACTGCAATCCTTTGTTTCCTTTCCTCACTTCACTTATAGGCAGGCAGGTTGTAAGCAGAGTAAGAGAACTAGAAACAGTGGCCAATAAGCAGGCAGGCAGGCAGTTCAGACTTCAGGCAGGTTTTAGATAGGGTTGTACCACCTACATCCTAGTGAAGAAACATCCTATCTAAACCTCCCATCGCTCAGTCGCACAGCATTAGGTCAGATCTCTAGGAAGCAATACCTCGCCCAGCATACTGCAGTCAGGGTTTAGGAGCCCTATTCAGGTAGCAGCGTCGTTTTTATATATTTCAGTGTAGTGCTATGATTAAGTTTCATTGTGGACCTCAGTGTTGTTCTTCGTCTGTACTTTTCTCGTGTTAAAGAAATCTATGTGGTTAATTCATGATTATTCAAGGGAGACACAAGTGCACAAATTTAAAGGGGTAGGTTTTTTCTCATTTCCTTTCGGAAATATAAATGCTTCATGGGGAGGAGATGGATTTCAAACTGGTATGGGATATTTTTCTTAATAACAAATTTGGTCTAGTGGAACATTACTGTGCCTGCCTTGAGATAGTATAGCTTTATGATTTAGTTTACGTGTTATTGCCTGCATACCATCATCTTTTAGCAGAATACCAGCATCTCATTGTAAAACACCATTTTTCATCACCATTCATTGTTCATCGTCGTATCATCATCTGTAAACCCATTTTAGTCGTTTAACTGGACACTACTACCAATGTTTAAAAATCTCAATTTTACAGAGGTAATTTATTTTTTGAATTGGTAGGCTGGAAATGTATTAAAAATTTGTGTCACGTCGTGTTTGTTGTTGTCATGATTTTTTATTTCATTTTCCCCTCCCACATGAAGAGTATTCCTGGAATAAAGTTGTTTTTTAATGATCTATACTGCTTTATCGTTTTTTGTGAGCATGTTCTTGTGTGAAAATTTGTTGGCTTTTATGTTTTATTTTGACATATCATATTTGCCTTGTGGGTGGTTGTTCGGTGCTCTGGTGTGTGTGGTTTGCTCCTTCTTTCCTATCATCACACATCTATCGTCCTTATCTGTCTGCTTTTTTTTTTTTTTTTGTTACTCTCTTGTAACATCTATTCTTCGGCGTTTACACTGACCGTAGTGTCTTTAGGCCATTCCCAAAGGGGGGACATTTCTCGTTCAAGCACAGAATTGTAAACAGGCTGATTATTGTCACCTCATAACTGCCTGATCTACAACATGGATCTGCTGCTTTTTCTTTCTTAATCCATACTGTCATTTCCCTCTACTTCTTTTGTATGTTTGTCACTCTCTTGTGACCTATTTCTGGGGTGCCTTGATAGTCGAAGCAGACCTTGTGTTGTTAAAGCTAGGGAGGTGAGCAGAATGTCTGATTCCCTGTAAAGACTTCTCTGTTGACACCCACCCCTTGGCACTCATATGACATGCAGAGTTACGAGCGCCATAAAGCCTATTTTTAAAAAAAAAATCTTCTGCACTTATATTATGTATTGTGTTGCAGGTGCCGTAAAACTCTTCTTTCAAACATGATCTATTGTCCTTTTCTCCCCTCCTTTTTTGTTTGTTACTCTCTTGTAGCACCTCTTCTTGTGGCGCTTATCTGACCGTAAGCAGTTGCGAGCGCCATAAAACCAACACTAAAACTAAAACAAACTTACAAACTATTACTAAGACAAGTGTCCTTGTCAAAATAATTTTACAACCATCTTCATACCATGCATGTATGGCTATATAAAGATATATTGAACATTTTTGGGGGATTTTTATACAGCTGATCTCAGGTACTATATAGAATTTAGAATGGGGCTTTTTGAAGTTTTATCTTGATAAAAAAGGGGCTCCCTTGTCATTCTGAGCACTTGGTGACAAGAAGAGGATGGATGGAGAGTAAAGATCTGTGGTTTTTATGAATTGTATGGTCATTTGAGATCACCTTCCAAGCTGTAATACTGCAATGTTCATTTTAACTAATTGACTAGAACTAGAAGGATGAAACTGCTCCTTGCTTCTGAGGAAAGCATAGATCTATATAGATATGAGGGTGAGTCTCTCCTAGCTGGTTCATCATCTGGAGGTACAAGAATGCTAATTGTGTGTATAAATTGTAATGGTGTCCTGCCGCACCTAGATAGGGTAACATTTGGTGAACAGTAGAAAGATGTAAAAGCCAGTTGCTCGTTCTCTATCTGCTTTACTTTAAGAGATATCTTTAAGATGTCAACCATTGCCATACATTGAAGCCACACTTTGCTCGTTCTACTGATGAGAGTACTTGCGTGATCTTCGACTTTTTTCGCCAAACCAAGAAGTTCATTGCCCTTCAGATCATTGACAGACAACTTGTTTTCCAAAAGTTGTTTGTATAAAGTTAATAAAATCTGCAAGTCTTTATTCGATGCCAGTGAATCAGGTGTTGTGGCATCGATGTTTTGAAAAAATATCTGGTAGAGAGTAATTTTCATTTGAACCTTCACGGCTAGACTGAGTATCTTCGACTTCTAGTGAGATGCCCGATGCACGCGAGGAAGCTCATTTCCACATGAAGCGGTCCTAAACACAGCAAACTGGAGCGGAGTTCACTATTTTCAGGCTCGCCTTCAAGATTTTCAACACTTTCCACCACAAAGGCTGGTCAAATGTTATAATTGGTTTTTTGTTGTGTTATTTTGCATGGGGACCACAAGAACGTTCGTGCCGGTTAAAATGAAGACTATACAATGCGAGGAACAAAAGAACAACAAATTCATTATCTATTCCAGACTGTAGGCCTTTCTGAAATTACACACACACACACACACACACACACACACACACACACACACACACACACACACACACATACACAACACTCACACATACACACACACTAACGCAGGCACGCAGTCACATATAAATAATACAAACAATGCCGAAAACTAGTATGAATGAACGACTGAGATATCTAGATCTAGACTCAAGTCATTTCTACATGTACTTAAATTAGACAGAGATCTAGATCCAAACCCATGGACCTATTGATCTACTAAAATAAGTATTTCATAGAAACACTTTTGTTTTTTAACCAAAACGGGTTTCCATACTTAGCGCACACGTCTGTGTGTTAGCACAGGTGTTTGTTTGTTTTTGTTGATTTTAAAACCTACATGAAGGAACAAAGCAATTCTTTCGATATAGCTTATATTTCTATAACTCATATTAAAATTGCATATTACACAAAAAGGCACATCTGGCTTTAAACTTCTGCGAAAATGCGTCAATTATCTATTAGGGTTAAGTGTGTCACGGGAAGAAAGGTGTCAAGGTTTCCAGGAAAAGTTGATCACTTCCCGTGGAATGCCCGGATGTAAACCAGCAAAAACGTCTTTTTAGTTATAAAATGGAAACCCTCGAGGGTTAGAACAAATTGGTCAGTAGAAAATGACCAATATCTCAGAAAAGCCAGACCCTAAACAGGTATAATTTATGGTGGGTGTTCAGAACACCCTTTTCTACCACTTCGCGTCGGAATTATTTCTGTTGCAATTAGTGACGGGTTATTTCGTCTGGACAGTGGACTACGTCGCCAGAGATGGGACCAGCATGTGTGTTTACAAAAACAAGCGGCGCTAAACGGCTGCCAGACCAATCGTAGTCATTTTTGCACACGATTCCCTTGACATGTTCTACTTTTGAGTAGACCAGGGTTCTTTCTACCAATCATTGGTCAGACTTGGAGATTTCCATTCTAAAAATAGGTTCCAAAACTCCCGAATCTGGGTTAACAATTAACTTGAGCAACAAGCGCTTGGTACCGGGTGAAAGCTTATTCAAAGCTCGTTCTTGCACTTTTTGTTTCATGACGATAGCAGTTATAGGCGCGTAGCGCGAAGGCTTTTTATGAGGCACCCTAAATTTTTGTCGCCGCGGCCGGCATGAAAAATGACGCGAAAAAACGCATTCCCGTGCATTTCGGTGACCCTTTTAGATAGCTTACTATACAATATCTCGTTCCGTGCCGTCCTCAATAGTTTAATTTTGGCTAAAAACAATAGTTGAACTGACTTAGTTCGAAACGGGGTGAAGATTGGTGTCAAATTTGAAGAGTTATGGTTGATTAAAAATGACCAAATTTTGAGCTTCCTACACCCTTTCAACTGCGCAGAGGCGGGGGTTTGTGGTACCTACTATAACTTATAACGAAGACATTTGTCACCATAACCTTGAACAATTTCTTGAAACATTTGCTGAGGGGATTTTCCTTGAAGGTGTAACCATTTGACAGCTGAGGGATATTCAAAAGGTTACATGGCACAACTTTAGCAAAGAAAAACAAAAGCGCTTTCATTAAACACAATGACTACATGTACTGTTATTTTCAAGTTTTCCCGAAAGATTGCGTTGTGTGTTACTGTTACAAAGAAATTGTCTAAAGGTAGATACAATTTCATTACTCTACCATGAGTCCTTCTCATTCCCAGACCAAAGACTTATTGACACCCCTCCCCCTCGTACTGATGGCTTTTTAGGCCATTCCCAAAGGTGAGAGGGGGATATTTCTCGCTCTTATGCACAGTGGAATTGTAAATGGGCTGATCCAACAATGTCATGCTCATAGTGCCTGAACTGTTACAGGGAACTGCAGCCTTTTCTTTCCTAATCCTTACTGTCGTCATTATCCTCTACTTCTTTTGCAATTTTGCCCACTCGTGTGACCCGCTATTTCCGGGGTACCTTGATAATGATAGTTGAAGCAGACTTCGTGCAGTTAAAGCTAGAGAGGTGAGCAGACTAAGTATGATTCCCTGTAAGGACTTCCCTGTTGACATCCAACCTTTGGCGCTCATATGACCTTATGCAGTTGCGAGCACCGTAAAACCTCTACTCTATGAAAAAAAGTACACACTTTCGATGAAAGGTATGATCGGTACATTTAACATCAACTGAAAGTCATTGACTTAGTACTACCTCGACCTTTGCGAGAGCGAGAGGGTCCAACTACAGAACGTCGTTTTCTTTTCGGCATAGTCAGGCGCTATCATGCCACATAATATATAAAGTTCAAATGTACTAGTACTATAGGAAATGCTAGATCTAGATTCTAATCTAAGAGTAAGACCTGATGACGTTGTTCCCAGTAAGTAGAAAGAAAAAGAATTTGACAAAGGAGTACAGAAAAAGCGACGATGGGCATCAAACGAAGGATCACAGTGATCACAGTCGAATTTAGCACCAAGTAAAAAAAGAAAACAAGAGGCTAGATCGATACGGGTCGCACACTTAAAATAGTGCTAAAGAGTCTACATAACATCAAAGAACATTAACAAGAGGGCCCAATTCTCTCTTTGAGCCAATTAAAATAAAAAGTGTCCTCAAAATTCAGTGGCGCCCTCTTCTCAAATGCGCACTCTTTGCGAACAGAGTTCTTCAAAATCAACATTGTGTTAAAAAAATCAAAGTGAAACTAAAAAGTTTTTGAATAAATAAGAATTCAAATTTCGGAAGAACGCTTTTTTAAAAAGGGTTACGCTGACAAAAAAAAACCTTCACTGTTTTCTTCGTTTAATTTGATTTTAGAATGAGAGGCGAGAGGTCATTAAAAAAAATTTTAAACCTAAAACTCTGCACTGAACGAACCCGAACAGCTGATGAACAGCAGTCGATCTGCGCACGCAACGAGCTGCTATTCCTATTCTTCTTCTGGAGAAACAAAAGAGAGCTTCAAAACAGACTGCAGCGCCATTGCCATCTGAAGCAATTGAAAGTGAGCGGACTTCCAGCGGACACTTTTTTGGCTGAGTGGTCCATCTTGTTATGTAGGCTACTATTATCTTTGATAGTGCTCAGCATTGCGCGACAATGCGCACGGAAGTAGGCTACGACTTGAAATAGACAAACCTGGCGAATTTT